CCCTCCCCCCTCTCATGCGCTCTGTCTCTCATTCTCTCTCTCTCAAATAAATAAATAAAATCTTAAAAAAAAAAAAAAAATCGAAAAAAAAAAAAAATTACGGGAAGGTAATGACCCCTGCAACTATAGTCCATGTAGACAGGGGAAAACTATCCTGAAAGGGAAGCAAGGACAGTAAAAAGAACAGACCAAACTCCTGCCTTTGAGCCCCAAGCAACTTGCATTCTGGTAAAGGAAGAGATGACAGACAAGTAAAAAAATAAAAACATAGTATGTCACATGGTACTATGGAGAGAAACACATCAGAGTAAATGAAAGAGAAATGATGGGAGGTAGGAGGTTTGCTATTTTATACCAGGTGTTAAGAGAAAAACTTGCTAATAAACAGACATTTCAGAGGTTTGAAGAAAATAAAAGGAACCGCGTAGATACAAGGGGGAGAAACTTTTCAGGCAAAAGGCATCACAAGTACAAAGTCGCTGAGGAGGAAGCTTGGCTGGTGTGTCCAAGGAACAGCAAGGAAGGCAGACGTGGCTGGAGCTGAATGACCAAGAAAAGTGCCACGAGATGAGGTCAGAAATACAGCAGGGTGGCCAAACAGGGAGGGCTCTGCCGAGTCTCATGGGTCATTCTAAGGACTTCTTCTTTCACTCTGAGTAAGTTGAGAAGTTATTGGAAGATTCTAAGCAGAGGAGTAATGTTACCGCACTAATATTTTTAAAGCATTAGTCTGGCTGCTGGGGGAGAACAAACTGAAGGAAGGCAAGTGCAGAAGCAGGGAAAAGAGGTGGGAAGCTATGGCAACCATCCAAGTAAGAGAGTGGTGGGTTGGATGAGAATGTCAGGAGTAGAGTTTCTAGGAAGTGTCAAAATCTAGATATTTTGAAACTAGAACTGACTAAGTATTAATTCAATGCCAAGTGTGACAGCAAGGGAGAAGTTGTGGGTGTCTCTGAGATACTTGGCTGGACCAAGTAGAAAGATGAAGTTGCTATTTACTAAGATGGGAAGCCTGAGGAAGGATCACATATTGGCGGGGTGGGGATCATGATAGTAGGCACTCACATGGAGATGTACAGTAGATAGTTGAAATATGAGTCTAGAGTTCACGAAGGGAGTCATCAGTGTACAAAGGCTACTTAAAGCAATAAATATGGATAAGATGGCTCAGGAATGAGCGCACCTCATTATTCCTCAAGCACCTGAAATTCGATGTGTAGAAACCCAAACTTATTACCTTTGCCTCCCCAAACCATTTATCAACCCAACTACCAGTCAATAGTCTCAAAATATGTTATCTTCAATATTTTTCTCATTCTACACAACCAGTAAAACACCAAGTATCACCAATTTCACCTCTGTAATTCTCTTCACATTATATCACCTCCTCAGAGTTCCCACTGTCACTACTCCACATCAGAACTATGTAGTTACGGTATTTTAGAAGACCCCTGGTCTCGCTTCTATTCCTTTTTCCCTGAAATCTGTTTTACTCATTGCTGCAATGGTAATCTTCATAAAGCAGAGTGCTGACCACATTATATAAACATACCCACACATTTCTTCTCAAAATCTTCAAAGCCTCTCAAATTCTTACCTTCAAGATTTTATTTGACAGAGAAAGAGAGAAAAAGTAGAAGCAAGGGGAGCAGCAGAGGAAGAGGGAAAAGCAGGCTCTCCACTGAGCAGGGAGCCCAATATGGGGTTCGATCCCAGGACCCTGGGATCATGACCTGAGCCAAAGGCAGACACTTAACCACCTGAATCACCTAGGCACCCCTCAAAGTTCTTAACTTCAGAACTAAATCTACAGGGGCGCCTGGGTGGCCCAGTCGTTAAGTGTCTGCCTTCGGCTCAGGTCATGATCCCAGGGTCCTGGGATCGAGCCCCGAATCGGGCTCCTTGCTCAGCGGGAAGCCTGCTTCTCCCTCTCCCTCTCCCCCTCCTTGTGTTCCCTCTCTCACTGTCTCTCTCTCTCTGTTAAATAAATAAAATCTTTTAAAAAATAAAAAATAATAATAAAAAAAACTAAATCTACAATCCACCCACATTCTGGACCCAACTTCCTTTTAGAACCTACCTCCTACCACTTTTCTTCAACCCTTCATGACACCTACATACGTACGCAAACTGGGCTCTTATTTCTGGAACACCTTGCTCCATCTCATCTCTGAGCCTTTCATAAGTTCCTGAACTAACCTAGAGCACAAACCATGCAGACAGGGGAGAAGGCTAAAGAGCTGGAAGAGGCTTCCTTGTCAAGGGCCCTGAAGGCTGTGCTTAAGAGTCTGACTTTATCTTGGAAGCAGTAAGAACCAACAGGGATGAAAAGAAAGGAATGACATAATCTTTATTTCAGAAATGTTACTCTAGCTGCAGTGTGAGGAATCTATTAGGAGAGCAAGATCACAGGAAGGTAATCAACTTGAGGCAAGTGCAGCAGTCTGAGCACTAAATGATTAGGTCCTGGATTAAGTCAGGGAGAGCAGAAATGGAGACAGGGTGTAGAATCTTACTGGGTTAAGACAGTTTGAGAGAAAAATTAATCAAATAAACTATCGCTTCCAAGTTTCTGGTCTGGTAGCCGGGAATAGCAATGCCTTCAAGGAGATTTAAAAGACCTGCACAGGAATCCTCTGTAAATATGCAACTACTCTTTATCTTTATCCAGGTGATGGTTACTCAGTTTATGGATTTGCTAAATTTCATCTAGCTCTACCCTTAAGTTTTATCCATTTCCCTGAACATTAACTGTATCTCAATAAACTATTACTTATTATTTATAACCCAGATAAAAAAGATCTTTCATTCACTGCTAAATATAAAGCAAATACTCATCTTTAAGATAAAAACCTCAAGGTCCCAAACCACGTAACAACCTAAAGTTTTGAAGAGATATCAGAATTTTTTTTTTTAAGATTTTATTTATTCATTTGACAGAGAGAGACACAGCGAGAGAGGGAACACAAGCAGGAGTGGGGGAGGGAGAAGCAGGCCTCCCGCTGAGCGGAGAGCCCGATGAGGGGCTCGATCCCAGTACCCTGGGATCATGACCTGAGCCGAAGGCATACGTTTAACGACTGAGCCACCCAGGCGCCCCAAGAGATATCAGAATTCTAGTAAGACCTCCCAATCCACAGTTTTAAAAGGACAGAAAACACATAACAAAGAAATATACCTATCTGCGAAATAAATCTCCATGCAACAAGTATTTATTGCAGCCCACTAAAAGCCTAATCATTGTTCAATGTTGTAGGTGATGTAAAAATATTTAGCCTCCAGCTCCTTTCAACTGACTTGGGAAAATACCACACATGCACAAAGAACTAAAATAGACAGCAACAGGCGCCAAGGAAACTTGGCAAACCCGAACTGGTAAGAAATTCAACTGGGATCACTACTGAGGGATCACGGCGGGCTTCGTGGAAAAGGCGGGATGTGGTGCCCAATCACTGACCCCCTGGAGGAATGGTCCCGTTCCAGGGACTGCAACGGGTGATGGCAGTGCAGGGAACCCTGTGAGCGTCACCGGCCCAAGTACAGTCACTTCCTCGGCCGAGGTCTCCCTGCCTCTCCGGTGGCCGCGGGTAGCGCCGGCCGCACGTGGGGCCGCACCGGTTCAGGCCTGGTCCCGCTGCCACCTCAACTCCCGCCTCTTTCCCCCAGCCCGAGGAAGCCGCCCGCCCGCTCGCCCGCTAGGCGCGCCGCCTCACCGTGATTCCCGGCCCATGCTGCCCGCCGAGGGAAAAGCGGCGCCCTTTGGGACAACGCGCAGAAGGACCGGACAAAGGAGGAGGCCGCGCAGCCCTCGGCTAGCCGGACGAGGAGCAGCACTACGGGGAAACAGCTGCTACAGCGGCGGCAGCCATCCGAAAACAGCCAACGAAAACAGGACGTGCTGGTGCCCGTGGCAAAGGGAAGGAAAAAGCGGGCCGGAAGCTGCTATCTCGCCACAGCGCCCCCTCTCGGCTGGAGGCCGCCCAGCGCCGGCCGCGCCGAAAGACGCGACTTTGGCGGCGTTTTCCCTGCAGTGCCTTGAAAGTTTGTGCCCTTTGGTGCGGTGGAGAAAGGCGCCTTGGCTTTGCAGGCCCTAGAAAGGTCTTTCCTGCAAGGGCCACCGAGGCGCCATATGCATTCCGTCCCCCTTAACCTGAGCTGAGTGGTGCTACCAACATCTCCATTCACTCTCATTTATACATTCATTCATTTATATGTATTGTTATGTGTGGGGCAAGTCTTAACATCCGGGGAGCTTACAAGTTAGTGGGGGATACAGACATAACTAAAAACACAAGCAAATGTAATACAAAAAAGAGATTGCGGCATAGGAGAGGAGTTCAGAAAGGGTTACCTGAGGATGTCACCTTTGAGGTGACATGTGAAGACTGAGTCGTAGTTAAGTTGGTGGAGAAGAGGAAGAGGCAAATATATATTCCTAAGATTATAATGGTTCTCAACATTGCCTGAGCTTGGAAGCTCTAAAAAAATACATGATGGGGGGCTCCTGGGTGGCTCAGTTGGTTAAGCGTCTGCCTTCGGTTCAGGTCATGATCCCACGGTCCTGGGATGGAGCCCCTTCGGCTCCCCCATCACTGGCAGTCCGCTTCTTCCTCTGACCCTCCCCCCTCTCATGCTCTCTCACTCACTCTCGCTCTCTCAAATAGTCTTAAAAAAAAATACATGATGCAGTATCTGGTTGGCTCAGTCTATAGGACATGCAGCTCTTGAACTCACCCCCAGGTCGGGTATAGAGATTACCTAAAAATAAAATCTTAAAAATATATGTATACATGGATGCATGTGTTCCATATGGATATTGATTTACTTGGTCTGGAGTGCTGCCTGTGCACTGGGAATTTTTAAGCTTCTTAGGTGATTTTGAAGTACACTTAAGGTTGAGAACGACTCACCTAGTAGAACATACTGAAATGTTAAGAGTTGTTTTGACGCAAAGCTGTAACGCAGTGAAGAAAGAGGCTCTCATAGTTTACATGCCTCTGTACTATTTTACATTCTTATACCTAAGAAAGAAAAGTTCTAGATCATGATTGTGGTGGTTGAAAACTCAATGAACTGTGAACTTTAAATTGGTACATTTTACTGTATGTAAATTTCACCTCAATAAATTTGATTTAAAAAAAAAAGAAGAAACGGAGTTAAGACTCCACGATGAGCTTCTGCTCTTCTTCTCTGCCTTCCTGCCCATCTGTGGCAGCAGAAGCGTCCGTGCCCAGGATAAAAGAGGCTTGGGCTGATACCTGACAGAATGGACAGCAAGTATCAGAGCCACTCTACATTGCTTCTATGTGGGCTAAAGGTAACAAGTATGGGTTTCAATGTAAGAGAAATAGGAAACCACTAATGACTTAAACATGGTGACACTGAGAAGTGGTCAGATTCTGGATGTATTCCAGAGGCAGCTCTCTAAACACTAACTGGTAAATTGGATGTGAACTGTGAGGGAAATGGAGGCATAAAGATGACTCTGGGGCTTTGAACAGAGCTACTGTGGGTTTTGGTGATATTCTGGAGAAAGACATGGAAGCAGCAATTTTGGCAGGGGATGGAGAGAAAAATCAGTGGATCTGGTAGAGTGATGGGATGTCTGAGCTGCCTGCTGGATATCCAGGGGATAATGGCCACATAGGAGATACAGGAGTCTGGAGTCCAAGGGAGAAATACAACTTGTCTGAGAGGGGTGCCTGGGTGGCTCGGTCAGTTGAGCATCTGCCTTCAGCTCAGGTCATGATCCCGGGGTACTGGGATCGAGCCCTGCATCAGGCTCCCAGTTTGTGGGGAGCCTGCTTCTCCCTCTCCTTCCCATTCGTGTTCTTTTTCCCTAACTCATTCTCTCCCTCTCAAATAAATAAATAAAATCTTAAAAAAAAAAAAAAAAGAACTTATCTGAGACACAGGGGTCATAAGCATTTTATAGAATGTTGAAGAATGTGGGGGTCGCCTGGGTGGCTCAGTCATTAAGCGTCTGCCTTCAGCTCAGGTCATGATCCCAGTGTCCTGGGATCAAGCCCCATGTCAGGCTCCCTGCTCGGCACGAAGCCTGGTTCTCCCTGTGCCACTACCCCCTGCTTGTATTCCTACTCTCCCTATCTCTCTCTGTCAAATAAATAAATAAAATCTTTAAAAAAAAAAATGTTTAAGAATGCAAATAAATAAAATCTTAAAAAAAAAAAAAAAGAATGCAGTATTTGAAGCCATAAAACTGGATGAGGCCAAGCAAAACTGAATGTTACAGCTTGAACAGATTTTTTAAAATCACATACTTGAATGTCTTTATTTTAATTGAGAAAACTGAGACTCTGGAAACAAAAACAAACTTAATCCTAGGTCACTAATCTTTTCGGAATCTAAACTGGAACCAGTAACCCACGCATCTGATACCCAGGCCAGACCTGTTTTCAAGATACATCATTTCTAACTCCCTCTTTAAAAAACAAAAGATTTGGGCGCCTGGGTGGCTCAGTTGGTTAAGCGACTGCCTTCGGCTCAGGTCATGATCCTGGAGTCCCGGGATCTAGTCCCGCATCGGGCTCCCTGCTCGGCAGGGAGTCTGCTTCTCCCTCTGACCCTCCCCCGTCTCATGCTCTCTCTCTCTCATTCTCTCTGTCTCAAATAAATAAATAAAATCTTTAAAAAATAAATAAATAAAAAACAAAAGATTTACTTGAAACAGAGGGAGAGAGACAGGGTGCAAGTAGGGGGAGGAACAGAGGGAGAGGGAGAGAATCTCAAGCAGACTCCCCACTGATCATGGAACCCTACCTGGGGCTGGATCTCATAACCCTGAGATCATGACCTGAGTAGAAAACAAGAGTCCAGACACCCAACCAACTGAGCCACCCAGGTGCCCCTATAACTCCTCTTTAAGAGAACCCATTCATGTGACAATCCTGAAAGGCTTTTTATATTCACAAGATGTTTATGTAAAGTTCACAGCAATTCTATGTCCCAGAAAAAGCTGTTTTTAACTATTAGGGTGGGTAAAAGAAGTAATTATAGTCCAGTATGTCTCCAATACATAACTTTGAACAAAATGCCCTGACTTCCAAAGCAGATTTTGATTTAATTAACCCAGTTCTGTCTCATAACCCTCTTGCTGTTTTTAGTACCAATGGTGATGCACATACATCCATTTACACAACTAATCAGACTAGAAAGCTACTGGTTGAAGATGTCACTTTTCAATCTAGTTTTAACCCATATACATTTCAAGTCCTTGAAATTTTTAACTAAAAAATTATTCCCAACACTAAGAAACTGCCATTTCCGTGCAGTATTATTAAACATTCTTACATTATTAGGAAGATGCCAATTGGCTGAATAAAGAAAAATGGCACCAACAGACAGATATATTATAGCTAGCTCTTCTCTCTGAAAAGATTCGATAATGATCTGTAAGTACTAAAGCTTCGCATTTGTCAACTGGCTAAATGAGGCCTTTTTTTTTTTTTAAGAAACAAAAGAACAAAAAAAATAAAGTAAGAAACAAAAGTAAATATGTGCAATTGAAGACCACTAGTGTCTTCCCAGGGACTGGGAGGGGAAATGACAAATCCAAGGGTGCTTTCTAATTCTCCTCTAGATACTAGATTCATTAGGGAATCAGGAAGAACCTGTGTTTGTAATCTTATCCTAAGTCAGAGGAATACACTTAATTATAGTTATATTCTATTATTTTGGGTCAAAGTAAAATGACAAAAATAAAGGCTTTGGGGGCACCTGGGTGGCTCAGTGGGTTAAGCGTCTGCCTTCGACTCAGGTCATGATCCCAGGGTCCTGGGATGGAGCCCCACATCGGGGTCCCTGCTTGGCAAGGAGTCTGCTTCTCTCTCCCTCTGGTGCTCCCCCTGCTTGTGTTCTGTCAAATAAATAAAATCTTTTAAAAAAAATAAAGACTTCGGGAATAATAAAGAAAAAGGTACATATATTTATAATTTCACAAGGATTAATCAAATAGGCCATACAAAAATTTTAAGGAAATGTAATATTAAGCAATATAATGCTTAATGTTTTATAACCTTCCAAATATGATAGTGTTACCAAGTTATTTAAAAGGGTATTTATGATACTGGGTTGCATACCCCAGTCAATTTTCAATTCCAATTTTTATATGTACTAATCATACTATTCTAGTTTGCTTAAAAACCTTACTCCTGGGCGCCTGGGTGACTCAGTCGTTAAGCGTCTGCCTTCGGCTCAGGTCATAGTCCCAGGGTCCTGGGATCGAGCCCCGCATCGGGCTCCCTGCTCTGCAGGAAGCCTGCTTCTCCCTCTCCCACTCCCCCTTCTTCTGTTCCCTCTCTCGCTGTGTCTCTCTCTGTCAAATAAATAAAATCTTAAAAAAAAAAAAGTAAATAAAAATAAATTAAAAATCTTACTTCTAGAAATTGAGCACTCAAAAGTGAAAATTCCCAATTATGAGCTTGATAATAAAATAATTTTTATAGGGGCACCTGGGTGGCTCAGTTAAGCGTCTGCCTTCAGCTCAGGTCATGATCCCAGGGTTCTGGGAATGAGTCCCGCATCTGGCTCCCTGCTCAGCGGGGAGCCTGCTTCTCACTCTCCCTCTGCTGCTTCTCTGCCTACCTGTGCTCTCTCTCTCTGTCAAGTAAATAAATAAAATCTTTAAAAAATTTAAAAATAATTTTCCATAAATAAAAATTAAAATAAATACCTTCATAAATGCTTTCTAATTTCACATGTATGAATGTTAATAATTTCTTTCATTACTCCTTTTTTGCACTGGAGTAAAAATTAAGATACTCGACAAGAAAAGATAAAATTGGCTACCTTATTTAGTCCTTATAAGTTAACACATGCAGACTTAACATTAGACCATTCAGTTTCTTTCATTTTATTTTTAAGATGGCTCCATTTTTCGGGACAGAACAACACAAATACAA